AAGGGGATTGTTTCTAAGCCGAACCTCGGGGAGATAAAAGTAATTCGCCCTATAAAACAATGCTTAAGGGTTAGAATTCCGTGTGATTCTATTAGAGGAAGGATTTGCAATCCCAATTTTGATCCCATCAGGATTCTGACTGCAAGATATTAAACCTCAAACAATTTGCAATCTTTTTCGAACGTCAAAATATATTCTGGTCTGTATTTATGAGTAATATAATCTCACCAAATCTTATCAGAAGATATCCATGGGTTCCAATTACAAAGAAATGGATTACCAATATGCCAATACAATGTTGGTTGTCTTTGATGTTGTTCGTGTGTCATTCAGTTTGGGTTATTCATATATGGCAATTTATCCATTAAAAGATTTCCACGAAATAAGTTATCTCTTCTAAATAAATCCAGACAATAAATCTAGACATAAAACTAGGTTACTTCTTGTCGCGCGTTGCACAAAGGAATAATATAAAAATAATTGGGTAACAAAGGAGAATATTTTTTATAATTAAGTAGTAATATAAAAATACAATAAAGAAGAATATTTTTAGCGGCATTGTTGGTTACATAAATTAAGATATTCCTAAGATAATTATTTGTCTTTGTTGATAAACTACAAGAGAATATTGTATGTTCACCAGACATCCGGTCTTCTTCATCCTTTGATACAAGCTGCATGAACTTTCCAAATCATTGCACCAGAATAAGTACCTCAAGAAAACATGGTAAGTAGTAGCATTTGGACTCTGCCCGTTCCTCACCATCAAAATAAAATCAAATAAAAATTATACTTTTCTATTTTTCTATTTTTTTTAAAAAAGTTTTTTGGTAGTTTATAGTTAAAGGCTCCAATGTCTCATACAAAGAGGAGTTTCTGGTCTCAGCCAGCCACAAACTCAAGGCTCCACTTAAAATGGAGAGCAACCCAAAAATGAGAAAGACTATATAAGGAATGAATCGGCCGACAGCCACCAACAGAGGAGCCTTAGATACCCCTAACATCAATGCTTGCCGCGACATTGAGACAACGAAATTTATCACATTCGTTAAAAAAGAGTTCTACACAAAATATACAGAACATCAAATGCAATCAAAATTGCCATGAACCCAAGCACTCCAAGGATCAATTGCGGTCAGCTTCCTCCTGATTTATCTCCCACATTCACAAATATTATGCAAAGAATGCTTGAAAATCCAGCTACATAAGCTGATTGAGAAAAAAATTACCCAGCGATTAGCCATGCTAAGTAATAAGCTACTGAAGAACACCGTTGGTATCTCCATCGTGGCGTTTACTGCTATATACGTTGAAGTTCAAATCTTCAACATTAAGCTGTAGCCCGAAAACACTTAGCAAAACAGTAATCACTAATTTAAAAACTAATCACCAGCTTAAACTAGCAACTACCCATGTTTTTTGGTAGTTTTATAACTTGAAGCAGCAAACGTGCTTGAATCTTCCACACTTAACGACAACCATCCGCATATCCTTGCACATTCTCGAAGGAAATTCATAGGTAACAATTTACCTAGTAAGAAACCTTCCCCACTTAAACGTTTTGATGCCCTCATCAAACTTAACCGGCATGGCTATCAACAAACCACTGCTCCGCTATCTTTTTTTTTTTTTTAGCAAATAGACATAAACACTCCCCCACTTAGCAAGTCGATACCAACTACACAAACCAACCCAATCTGCACAACTCAAACAAGCAAAACACAAGAAGTAATGCTCAAATGAAAATGAAATCTACCACATACATTTCACCTTCACGAAACCAAGCAATTGGATTACCGTTGGACCGTCCCATAGTAGCCTATCAACAATCCAAACACTTAGTCTCACTCCGCTATACTAGCTTTTAGTCACCAATATAGCTCCACCACACTTCGGTCTTCACTGATCAACAACTCGCAAAAGTCCAAGCCTCGGGACAATTGAGTCATCCTCCCCAACTTCTTCCACACGCAGTTCATTAGCAGCACTACTCTTATTCTTCTCAAGCAATGGACAATTTTTGACCTTGTGTCCTTCTTTCCCGCACTTAAAACAGCCCTTACCTTTCGGTTTTTCTTTAGAACTATTTTTGTTGTTAGCCGTTTCAGACACAACAACCTTCTCTTTCATCCAAGCCTTGTCTTTCTTTGACTCTTTCACATCATCTCCACTTGTTGAAGTCTGCACATCAACTAAACCATCCGCAACTCGAATTGCATGGGTTAATTCCCGCACATTGTGTCGACGTAACTCTGCTTGCGCCCACGGTTTCAAACCAGCAACAAAGTTAAAAATTGTCTTTCTCGGACATACCACCTACACCCAACATAAGAGATAAAAAATCCTTCACATATACATGAACAGAACCAACATGTTTCAGCCGTCTCAAAGCTTCGCGAGCCATCCAACTTGAATTGGTGGGAAGAAATTCCTCCTGCAATTCCTTCTTCAACACCTCCCAAGAGTCAATTTCACCCGCACTTTGATCCTTCACCCAAGTTCTCCACCACAACTTTGCATCCCCATCAAATTACATGCTAGTGATCATAACTCGGTCTTCTTCTGGCACATGAGCAGTCTTGAATACTGCTCCATATCCCATACAAAATTCTCAAATTCTTTGGAACTTCTCTGTCCATCAAACTTATTGGGCTCAAGAACTTTGATTTTATTCCCCACTAACGATGCATCTACACTAACATGTTTTAAGAGAGCAACGCCAGTAAATAAACCATCAATCTTAGAGAATAACTCACCCATAGTTGATGATGAACTAGCCATGGATGCAAAATTCCGTCCCATCCCTTCGATCTTGGCTAAGAGACCAGCAACCGAAAACTTCAAGTCCGTTAAATCCGACTCCCTCACATGATTTTGTGAGTTTGTTTCCATCTTCTCCCGGATTTCCTGAATGGCACCTTCAAGCTTCGGTTAACGTACACGGACAGCCATCTTCGCTTCACAAGTACCAGGCCCCAATCTATTGGGGCTCTGATACCAACTTCTTAGACCCCTTTTAACTCTCTAGCAGAAGAAAAGATCTAATTGGCGTGGATTTCCTTAGCACACATCCACCAGCCCGCTTGAACACTCAATCTTAGCAGCGGAAACATGTTCTAGCACGTAGCAAGAGGGTTTTGCTGCTATGTATCAAAGAACCAATGAAAAAAAAAAATAAAGGCAACACAAAAATAATCGGGCAAAAGCCCCAATCCAAGTACTTTATTGCTCAACAAACTAGTACAGAGGATCAAACACCCAACACGGGTCACACGCCCACACTTACACAATTTTATTGAACACCAAAGACCACCCGAAAATTAAAGATCCTTGACTCTAATTTTCTGCCCTCAAAATACGATTCTAACTTCTTTATAGAGAACGTGATTGCAGCTCGCACATACTTAGCAAAATAGTAATCACTAATTTAAAAACTAACCACCAGTTTAAACTATCAACAACCCATGTTTTTTGGTAGTTTTATAACTTGAAGCATCAAAAGTGCTTGAATCTTCCACACTAAACGACAACCATCCGCACATCCTTGCACATTCTCGAAGGAAATTCATAAGTAACAGTTTACCTTGTAAAAAACCTCGCCCACTTAAACGTTTGATGCCCTCATCAAACTAAACCGGCACAGCTATTTAATGTTGATGGGCTTATGACATTTTCGTTGATGGGCTTGACTGCAACCGTAAACGTTCATGTTCTCTTAAAACAGAATTAACCAAAACGACGTCGTTTAAGCTATTATTTAAAAAACCAAACGACTAAAACTTGGCGTGCACGACACAGGTATGCTAAGGATTGAGCCCAAAAATTGTAGATAACAACTCAATTTATCGGATTCCATTACCACCTATATGATACGAATTACATTTTTAATATAAATGAAAGAATATAATAATAATGCACTGGGTAAAATTCATGAACACAAAACACTGTTAAAATCCGAAACCTTCAAATAAATAAGGTATATAACACATTGTTCATAAAACTAATTAAACCAAAACCAAAACCAAAGTATTCATCAACATTACATGTCTTCCCAAAATTTTTTTTAAAATAGTTAATCTGAAACCAAGAGTGGCGCAACAGATGTCCTAGGGACTGATGATTTCACCCAAACTTTTGATGACTCATACCTGCGAAGTTTCCTCCCAAAGATTCCATTGGACGCGTAATCATCTTCTTGAGCAACCCAGACATATAGGGAATCATCGTGAGTAACAGACCCTCCCCAATCCTGCTTCCCATGGTGATCATTCTTATAAACTTGATGAAATGCAAGACATCTGTTAATCGATCCAAACCAATTCTAAAATGAACAATAGCTATTCTAGAGTGGCCAGACTCAGTTTCCCACAATGGCTCCACTTTTGTTGGATTAAAACCTTTGCCTATATACTTCTCACGCAGACCCCTGCCACTCGATCCAACAAACTTCCCATCCTCGAGTTTTCTAGCCAGGTTAACAGCAGTAGCCATTGGATGGTAAACAAAACGGTCATGTGGAGTGTGATATTGAAGGGGATCTACCACTACTTCTGCATGAGGAATTGTCGGCACAACTATTTTAATGCGAGCGACGGGTGTGAGATCATCTTGTAAATATCTTGCCAATGCATGATGATTCGCTCACTTTTGCATAGAATTTTCACCGAACCACCCTCCCCATTTGCATGTTGTAGAAGGTCAACGTATTCAAACTTACTCTTTTTTTTTACCTTTACAAAAAGGGCAAGTAAATTTATTCCCATTAACTCGAACTTCATGACCTCCATTTCTCAAAGAATTATACAAGGTATCTGTCTGTTCATCAGGCTCTGACTCACTGAAATCACTATCATCTTCGGAGTTGGAGTGTAATCTTTTTGCCATCTAAATAGGAAATAATTGTATAAGTACTCATAACCAATATATATATATATATATATATATTTATATATATGAAAAAAACATGGCGATCCCATTCTCCCTTTTCAAAAATGTCTCACCTGAACGAAAAGAACATTTCTCCCTTTTTGAAAATGCCTCATCTATATGAAAAATGTATGATGGTCCCTTTCTCCCTTACTATTTTGCTGACAGTGACATTTGGTCTAATGAGGTGATTTCATATTTCTTCTGGTTACTATTTACAATAGTCATAATAATTTACATTCCAGATCGGTTACTATGTTTAAGGAAACAGATCGAGTTACTTAATCATCATCAACAATATCCATTCCATATAGTAAGACAACTATGTTTAGCAAAATCGTTGGTATTACTAAATTTATTTTTTAGTACATAATAACAAAGCAACAATGGCTAAGTTTGGCACTTTAACTATAAGTCCTAAATGTTCAAACTGCACCACCAGAAACCTTCCACCTCCTACTTATACTCTTAAAAAAGCTAGTTTAATTCTATTCCGAAGGTTTTCTTACTTTCATATTATTATATTCATTTTTTGGGACCACACCATCTTACTACATGTTGAAGAAATCGACCTAGATCTACGGTAAAGGTAAAAGTAAAAGTTTACCATGGCATACAAAGAAATGTGAGAAGGAGAAGAAATGGATTTTTTCAATTACCTTATTATAAGATGATGCAAATGGTTTTTGGCCAGATTTGGGGAAGGAGATGCGTCCAAGAAGAGAGATGCGTCCAAGATGAGTTGACCTAGAACGGCAACAGAGATTTTTATAGTCCCCTTTGTTATATCTGCCAATTTATTGAGTGGTGGGAGATGAAGCGGAATGAAGAATTAAATGCACCTTTTCACTTAAAAAAAATAATAAAAATAAAAGAAAATAAAACTAACATAAAATGCATGTTTCATATTGGCCTATTGGGGGACGATACACATCAGGTATCACTTTGGCTATATGACCCCAAGTTGGCCATAATCCCATGTGGAATAAGTCTTTGCCTGATCATATATTTGTAGGTTAAATCCCAATTTTAGCTTTTCATTTTTTTCCCTTCTTGACACAAAAAACAAACTCCATCCAAACAACATCTCCAGTCTAAATCACACATCAAAAGCCAAATAAAATCCAGAATATCTAGAAATATACAGTACAATCATTTCAACCATATTCCTACAAGCTGCTGAATAAAGCAAAATCAATGTTTCAATTAATGTCTCTTCCAGTTTAGAGTTTGGACATTCTGAATAAAAATCACCTTACTATCTGGCCTATTATATGCTATGTCCAGAGTTAACTGCACAGGCTGATTCTCTTCGATCAGGTTGGCATCGAAGAAATTCCTCCAGTTCTCACTTAATTCCCTCTGAACTGTAGAACCACGGGTATCCGCTGGGCTTGTTATCCGGAGTTCTGCTGCTTCAAGTGGACCTTAAAACATAGCAACTTTTTTTTCTCTCTAGTGCGTGGCGGCGCACAAATTTAATCGGAATGTTCTGCACAAAAATAACACGCCAACAACTTTTCGTGAATTATATATTTTTGTTTCATTTACAATGATGGTTACAAAAACTAAGACTCACCATTCGATATTTGGCCGTACGTGACTGACTAACACTTAGTTTGAAGCTATTGTCAGGGTTGTTCTCCAAGTTTGATCCCGAATTCTCTCCCCCGACAACGATGTCATCTTCTTCTTTATCACATTCACAACCCTACAAAATGAAGGGAGAATCATTTTAGCGCAGGATTACACAAACCCCTTGACAACTGCCACATCCAAACCCTACAACGACAAAAGACAAAACCGAAAGCATGGGATAGGTGATTTCGTGCCTAATCTTCCTCCTGCAGACCAATATCGATTGGAGAATCTGTCGTGCTTCCTGGTCCCCCCACGGGACTTTGTGTCCACAACAACCTCCCCCTAATGCTGTTGCTAAATCTACTTGGACTGGGCGTAGTAGGACCTAGATTTTGTCCACTGACCTTGCTACATTGCCCTATTTTCTTCCGAGTAGGGGCCAGCTTTGATAATCACAACAAGATGAATTACAAAATGCGTTAATAATGGTTTAACCAATGCAAGGAAATTAAAATGAACATCTTGTATGGTCAATCGTATATTATACAATAGGCATACCGTTTCCGTTGTGACCGATGCTTTATCGGGGTGTTCAAGGGGTTGTGTTTCTACCACTAGTTCAATGACGGGCTTCCCTGCGTCCTCAGCTTCACCCTTCTTTCCTGTTACCTTCTGTCAACATGAGAAATTTATTTAGGGCACACCCTCCGATTGGAGTAGGAAAACAGTCATTTTTTAAAAATTTTTTGTTTTAATTTTTTTTTCTATTGATGACAATCGCATTACCTGTGCTTCGACACATTCATATAAGAGGTGTCCAAAACAATTGCAAAATGAACACTGCATGCTTAACCGAGTACATTCCTCCCATCCTCCATGTTTAAATTCCCCATGTCAGTGTTCACACGGAAAGCCAAAAGTCGAATAACCCCCAGTCAGATTCTTGTTCGTAATCATCAGGTGCTAAGTTGAGTATCTCTATCGCTTGCTCATCAGGTGCATTGATGGCCTCCGATGATTCCTCATTATGATCCTTCCTTCATTCGTCTTTTGACAACAATATATATTTATTAAACCACTAAACCCTTCAATGTTCAAATGATATCAAGTTTTGGGAAAAGATTTACCTTTGCGCTTGCACACTCTTCTACCGTTTGCTCGTCAGGTGCATTCATGGCCTTCGATGATTCCTCAGTATGATCCTTCCTTTCATCCATGTTTAAATTCCCCAAGCAGTCTGCTTGTGGTTCAAGATCAAGGTCTGCAGCATGATTATCCTCTTTGTCAAAAGTTTCCTTTTCTAACCAACGTTTCAACTCTCCTTCAGGGCATTCAGCGGTCCGATGACTGGTCATTTGACAAAAGTCACATGGCAAAACTTTTGGAACAACATTTTCAGCTTCTCCATCATCATCATTATCATCATCATCATCAATAATCTGAAATTTTCCTCTCCGCTTAGTTCTGGACACCAAGATAACAGGATCATCAGGATCATTTTCATCTTTATCAACAATCTGATCTATTTCTTTCCACTTAGTTCTGGACACCAAGATAACATGATCATCAGGATCATTTTCATCTTCATCAACAATCTGATTTATTCCTTTCCTCTTAGTTTTGGACACCAAGATAATAAGATCATCAGGATCATTTTCATCTTCATCAACAATCTGGACACCGGGACAACAGGATCATTTTCATCTTCATCACGAAACTGAAATTTTTCTTTACACTTAGTTTTGGACATCGAGATAACAGGATCATTTTCATCTTCATCAACTACCTGAATATTTCCTTTCTGTTTAATTCTAGACACTGGGATAACATGATCATTTTCATCTTCATCAAGAAGTTGATTTTTTCCTTTCCGCTTAGTACTGGACACCGGGATAGGTCGTTCGGCTCATTTTCGTCTTTATCACGAAACTGGAAATTTCTTTTATGATTGTTATTCCACTTCTGTTTGGTGCCCTTTTGATTTTGATGCTAAGCCTTACCCTAGTGCCACAATGATGGGGACAAGACATCACGGTTTGGTTTAAAGGTATAGAACAAAAACAACAAAGTCCGCAAACAAGAATGTTAATAAAGATATTCTTCTATGCCATCACAATGCACTTTAGGTTTTTACATAACAACCAAAGTATTAACTTCGTGGACTATGCAAGTTAACTCTTACATCGAGTTATATATATAAAAGTTAAACCGAAATACGGAGGTTTTATTTCAGTATCATTTTGCAGGAGCTTAACCAATACGAAGGTTTCCTTGTCTTGCTTGGCTGCTTCCTTCTGTTTTCTAATTTCCTTTTGAGTGCTGGACAAGACTTTCATTTGTGCCCCCTACCTTTGCAGTATTCACATTGACTGTTCGGGTGTGCTTCCCTGCCTCTTTGCTTTTGCTTACCCGTCTATCAATTATCAAGCCATTCAAACCCACACAATTGAGAACTCGTAACATTTGAAGAACATATACAAGTACAAAAGCTTACATCATCAGCCAAAGGTTCAACTGCAACCCTTTTGCGTGGTTTGTCCCGCTGCTTGGATGCCGCTCGCTTTTGGCCAACTCAGGGCCTCTCACTCTCCTTGCCATCAGTCTGTGTAACAATTCCAAACTTTCAATTATTATCACAAATAATGGTACATAAATACACAACACAGGTTGAATTAGGGAACAAAGTTCGGAATAAAATACAATTTCCACATGATAATAACTTGTTTCAAATCTGGACATCTTTTCCTACTATGCCCATCACCTGACAATTACCACACTTATTGTGTCTTTCTACTAGCCTTATACCAACCTCTTTTGTTCTTGTATACTCGGCAGGGCTCATCATGCCGCTTGTTCCTGCTGCCCTTCATTCTTCCTAGCATGGGTCTAAACACTAGAGGCAACAGGGGTGGGTCTGATCTTTGCCGCCAAAAATTTGGACCATTCATCCCCCGGAAAGTATTTGCATATGATCTCAAGTATATCTCCTTTGAGTAGCATCTGTCAACATAATCTTCCACCTTTCTTTGGTCATCAACAATGCACCTTACTGGATGGGGCCATAGGATACCAATCAAATCCCACTTCTGGCAAGCACAACTCAGATTTCCTGGTCTAAGGCACACAACAACCTGTTCATCAATTCCCCTCACCTTATACTCACCATCACCACAATTATCTGCAACATAACCACTAGAAGCTTCCCGGGGATGCCGATCACCGTTCCCTGATTTTGTCACCAAATTCAAATGGTGATTTTTGAATCCGCTCCCTAGTCTCGCGGTATTTAATCATCAAATATTGCCACAACCACTCCAACAGCCTAAGAATTGGTAGTCTACGACACTTAGCATAGCACAGTTAAATCCTTCACATATGTTGTTCACCAACATGTCATACTTTGTCTCAGTCAAGAAATGTGACATGCACCAGTAATTTGCTCCAATTTCACGAAGATACCTCCATGCACATTCCTGCTTCTTCTTCAAATCATCCATTAGCGTCTTCCATTCCTCATGAGTTGTTGCTTTTGCAATCCATGTGAAGCTGGCTTTCAATTTCAATCCGGAGTACTTTACCTTGAAATTATTCCACAACTGCTCCACACAGTATCTGTGGGAAACATTTTTCAGAAGTGCAGCAACAACTGGAAGAAGACCCTGAAAAATAATTCATGTCAATGCCTTAACATCCACACCAAATCTCAGTATCATGAATTGATCAATTGCTTTACACTCATTTACATTCTCAATGGAGATGCCTGTTATTGAACACAAATTTAAAATTTACTCTCATGCCTTTTGCCGGTCTAACATGATGACCCATTCAGACGTATCAGTTATTCCCAAGTCATCAATGACATATTGCAAGAACCATGTCCATGAATCTTCATTCTCTATCTCAACAACAGCAAATGCAACAGGATATATCTGGTTATTCCCATCGTATTCCACGACTGCAAGGAGCTGGCCCCCAGTTGGAGTCTTCAAGAAGGTCCCATCTACACCAATCAGTTTCCTACATCCTTCTTTGAAACCCATTTTAGAGACTAGTAAACACATGTACAGCCTCTGTTGGGGATCGTCTTTCATAGTCAAAAGCTTAATTGTGCTACCTGGGTTTGTCCTCGGCCAAATACGATTCCAAATATGCATAATTCTCCTCAATAGTACCCCTGTTTATTTTAAGTGCCTTCTTCTTAGCCCTCCAGGCTTGAATTCTTGAGATCTTCAATCTATGATCCTTCTTAACCCTCCATTTAAGGTAGCTAGAACTGAGGTAGGCCCTACTGCCAAATCTTTAAGATACCACTCGGTAACCACATGGGCAGTACAGTTCTTTGTTTTATCTAGTCTTGGACAACTGTGTTTGTCTTGGTGAGTCTTTATCTGAAACGTCGGTTCATTTTCACTCACCTTAATTGCATACAGTACCCAGTTGCATCCACCCCCTTGGCAAATTGCCCTAACATAGTTGGAGTCATGCCTTTTGAAGGTTATATGTCGCCTATTGGTGGGTTGTCAAAGCTGCCAAAATAAATTACCAACTTAAATTGTAGATAGAATAAGTCGGGTCGATCCCATAGGGACGGGTTAAACTTCAAATAACCGGAAAACAAATAAGAATATAAGAGTTGGACAAACAAGGAAGAAAATTACAGACTCACTTGCCCGAGTGACAAAGTCACTCACGCGAATGGACTCTGCAGAACTGAAGACAAATAGACAACTGGAACCTCGCTCACGAGAGTGAGAATTCTGACTCAGGGGACTGACTCAACAAACTGAGATATTCATTCTCTTTTCCCTATGTAATCAAGTGGTAATCTTGCACTCTTTTGGTATGAATTCATGCTCACTCAGGCACTTATATATCTCTAAGTCACTTTCGATTTTTCCCAGAGGTATCTTTATGAACTCAATTAAACTATTTTCTAATGAATAATTAAGTCATGAAGTCATTAAGTTTTCAAGCCTTACATGAATGCTTATGCTAACCAAGTATATTCCTATCTCAATTAGAACCTTGGACTGTTACCTCCAAGTCATAAGTTGAAGCTGAAATCTATCCAAACCAAGTTTATCTTTCCAGATCTCCCTTAGTTCTAGCTTGCATTCAATTAGTGATCAAGTAACCGAATGTAGAAAAACTTCCAACTCCAAAATACGTATTCAATAAGTGCATTACAAACTCAAATTACATAGGTTCCAGAGAATGAAATCTGACTAACTGCACATACAAACTACAAAAAATATAAGAAAGGAAAGAAAGAAGCGAGAAGAAGCAAATCTGAATGCTGGACAACTGTCACTCAGGCGAGTGAGGCCTCTTATCCCTCCTTGCTGCTACTGGGCTTCTTCTTCTTGGAGTTCCTTCCTCTCTTCTTCGGGTCTGTGTAGTGTTGGTGTATTGTATGTGTGTTTTTTGTCCTTTGATATGTGTTCTTTATGCAGGGAATGCAGCTCCTGTTATAGAGCTTGTTGCCGGTTCTTCTTCTAAGAGAGTCTCACCATACTTGTGTATTTTTTATTAGCCCCAATGCCTTATGTCTTGAATCCAGTTTAGACTGACCTTTTCCCCTTCTTCTAGCAGTGGTATCAGCAGCAGCATTGATCAATGTGGGTGGTTGGTTCTTCAGCCAAGGGGACAAGCATATTCTTGGGTTTCTATTGTGGGACACCCTTATTTACTCCCAATGTGCTTTGTGTCTTGAAGTTACTTTTGACCAGTTCAGCAAATTTGAATCCAGCAGCCCAATTTTTGTTCCATAAGCCCCTTTTTCAGCTAATGTTTACTCAGGTCCTTGCCTAATTAAAAACACAAAACTAGTTAAGTAAAATGAACTAATTCTGAGAAACACCCCTAATTTCTTACTAATTAAAGAGTAAATTGACATGCTTTTATATAACAAATTAACCATTATCACCTATCAACAACTGAATGGAGTTGTTTATATCTCATAAGTTGCCACTTATCCTCAAAGTCATGCCACACCTCAAACCCTGGATATCTCATATCATCCTCAGGTACATACTTTCTCTCATTCTTTAAATTCTTTCCACCTCTATTTGCATCCTGTGAAATTGATCCCTCTGATATATTTCTAGACTTTAACGATTCAAATGAGCCACAATTAGCCACAGGATCATAATCTTTCACCTTATCCAATTTTTGGTCCTTGTCAAAACAACACCACGGTTGAACACGGATCGCGTTATTAGCTTTTTTCTGATACTCCAGATCCATGTCATCTACGTCATAATCGTTGTCTTCGACAAGATCTTGATCGACATAATCGTCACCCACGATTTTTTCAATTCCCCCACCATCATCAGATACATAACCACATTCAGAATCACCAGAATCAGACTCAGATGAAGAAGCAGTATCAGAATCACCTGAATCTTCACTGTCATCATCACCAGAACCATGATCCCCACTACCATAAACATCATCTCCACTATCATCAACACAATCACCCTGTTCCACGACTCCTTTTGAACATTGGCTAATTAAAGGATCCTCGTCTCCTGGGCCAATCCTGTATACCACTATCGCTCGCTGTTTCTGAACAGTACTGTCCCCCACGATTGCCTTAATATCCTTACCTCCAAGTATATGCTTAAATTAAGAATGTTCAACCCTATTTCTATCCCTATAAAACCCCGTTGGCACAGACCCTATAAAAAAATGACCTCAGGGACTCCACGGTAAGATTGTATTCATTTATGAAGTCAACATAATGAACTCTGCCACCAATATAATTCACCTCTGTTGTCATCCGAAAGCTGCCCCCGTGGTGGATTTTTGCAGTGAATTGCTTCGCGTTATCACCTATTAATCAACAGTACTAGATTCAGTTCATCCAATTTACACAGTAACTATAAATTAGGTTTACAGCCTTTCATAACTTAACTAAATCAAATAACACAACCATATGTAAGAAATACAGATCTATGCATCAATCTACTGAAAGAAGCAAAATTCATAAATGGGTTCGAAGTATATCAATCCAATAGTATTTACGGTACAGTGGGATATCTGGTTGTTCAGAGTTTGTATCTAGAATCCATTCATGATGATAGTCTACACCATGCAACAAATCCATTCACACTGAATTCCAACACGAGCTGAAAGAGTTGATGAATTCCAGAACAGATTCCTTCACTTCATCTGGAACTCAAATTTCTGGAAACCCTCTTTTCTCGATACATTCGAAGTTCTCTCTCTTTTTCCTTTTTTGGTCAATAAGTTTCAACTTATGACGCCCAACTACTAGATATGTATTAAAATACTCGTTCATCATATTCTTGTCAACGTGCACCATTCATTCCGACAAAATATGGAGATGGCCAATATTCCTAAAGAGAGGATTTTACCCCTGCACGTGCCTAGGAGCTTCCGTTACGATTTCTTCTGACAAAGACGGAAAGATAGCAAAAAACACTCTCCTATCAAGTGGGGTTGACTGGGAATATTTTCAACATAAGGGTTTACACCAGAACAAACCAGAAACCTTTGGGTTTTTTTTCTGAAATAAAGCCAAACTTTTACTAAAAGATTGATAAAACCTCAACTTCAGTGGGTACATTATCTTATTCTGCATTAAACCTTACATCTACATAATATTAGAGCACAAACTATTAATAATAACATTATTCAGCCTACTTGGTATAAAATCTAAACTCAGGTTGTATAGTCTATCTCAACTCCTACGCAAGTTTCCTGAAACTTCAGTTCTTTTGACGATATCACATTTATTCATGTGTTCCTCGGAGGGGAAAGGGATAATATATACATATATAGGGGTTGAGCGCCGAGCTCAATGTGGTTCTCAAAATATTACTACAATAATTTTAATAAAACAGTTTTAAAGAAAACATTATTCACTTGTAAAACAGTTTCACATGAAAACAATGAAACATGTATACAATCAAAACACTTAGCATTATCAAATAACAATAGGGTAGATATGAGGATCACGACAAGGGGCCGCCTCAAACCTATATGCACTGTAAACAGTGAACCCAAGTTGGATCATAACTCTGGGGCATTTAGCCCAAACATTAACTCTTTATAACTCTTTCCCTTATGTCTCCCTTAGTACCAACTCTGGATGACTCATGAGCATCATAACTTTAACCAATGTAACTAGCTGTCCGACCAAGCCTGATGCTTGACTCATTTAGCAAGCAAAGGATGAATCAAATAGAAAATTCCAAAGATGGTAGACTGATGTGCTTCAAATTTACCTATTTTTAATATCCCTTTATATGCGAGATTTTGCCAGTATTTTGAGTACAAATGTGCTGTTTATGTGATTTTATCTTTAATTATAGGAATGTACTCAAATGAAAAGGTTGTTGAAATTTTGAGCTAAAATCGAGATAAAGAGCAACAAAAGGGGTAGAATCGAAGATTGGAATAATTGATGGTGAAGAAATTGAAGAACTTGAAGGTTTGGAGGACCAAATGTGCAATTTTGGAGTTCTTGCTTTAGTGTGGCCGAGAGTTGCATGTTTGGAGAATAATTGATTTCGACCAGTTTTTGGAGCCCAAACACACAAACGTGGACTGGCCTCCTCTGCTTAATGCCATGATCGTCAAAGTATTGGGGGGCAATGTGATATTTTGTCAAAGTTAAGGAGTTGCTAAAGTCTATACCTGAAGTTAAGTTATTTATAAATTTGCCTAGATTTTTTTTTTTTTTTGATAACGCCAGGAACGCCACTAGAGATGGGTAAACTCATGCCCACTGCAATAGCCTGCAAACTACAGTGGGAGGTAAACCACCCTAGGCATGCCCTGGGTGACAAGCTTGGGTGCAAAATCGGGGGTTCATTAGTGGGTTAGCCATAACAAGTCCCTAGAGGTGCCAATAACTAAGGTGAGAGTCAACCCCTCACTTTTTTTTGTTGGAGTGGGGGGTTGAACTCATGACCTCCTCTTGGAGCAAGGGTGGTATTACTACTAAACCAACTCCTCATTCGCATTAGCCTAGATTTTGTATTAAGTTAAAAGCTGTATTTATTACCAATGATTACTGTGTCAGTAAGGGTTTAACGATTGAGTCTTCTCTAAGAATGGGTAATTCTGGCTCTGAGGATTTCGGTTCTATTAGAATGAGCTGGACTCACTCTATATGTATGCATTCCGTTCTTATTTGGACCTCAGTGAAGAATTATCTAAAGTTATTTATCAATTTTCTTGTTTTTCAATTTTCAGTTACTTTTTCTATAATTTTCCGGTCAATCGGTCGGATCTGACAAGTTGGTATCAGAGCCGGGAAAATTCCTCGGCTCAGGTCAGCATGGCAGAAGGTACTAGATCCATAAAACAACTTGAAGAGCAAGTTAAAAAGCAGGATGCGACTTACAAAGGTGACGACGGGGATTAACGACCACATCGCCGGAAAGTTTGCAGAGTTTCAGTGTCAAATGGAGCTCAAGATGAAGTCAGCTATGGAAGGATCAGCAACCATGAGTCAATTGGGTTGGGGGAAAGCGATGATTGCCTCTCTTCCTCAGGCGAAGATCGGACCCTTTCTTCCACCACCAGTAAGGGACAAAGCTCCACTGCGATTTGGAGATGTACCCCCTGACCGATCTCTGATGGTGATTAACTGTGGTAGGCCATATAGGTCAGCTGCAGATCTGAATTTCACGGCAACCAACAGAGGTCGGGGATTCAGACCACAATGGTTCACTCAACCCCGGCTAGAACTTCCGATGTATGAGGGTGACAACAATCCAAGAGGCTGAATCCGTAAAAGAGATTCTTCATTCTTCATCAGATCTCAGAGCTTTGAAAGGTCAATCATACAAGCTTTATTTGGAAGGTAAGGCTGAAAAATGGTTTCAAGTCATGAAAATGTTGAAACCTCACGTGAATTGGAATGAATTCAAATCAGGACTCATTAAGTGATTTGAGGAAAAAGGATTGCAAGATGAGGTGGAAGAGTTCAATAAATTGGTTCAGATCAGTACAGTCTGGGAATATCAGGAGAAGTTCGAGGAGCTGAGGGTCAGGATGCTGTAAAAAGGATCCCCATTTATCAGAAGGATACTTCATTTCAAGCTTCATCAGTGGCTTAAAAGAGGAACTCAAGCCAATGGTTCGAATGGTTTCCCATCATGATTTGGTAACTATGTATGAAACTACCCTTTTACAGGAGTAGAACATTGCTGTTAACTCAAAGGGGACTTGATCTGGAACATATTCAGTGGCCAAAACTTATTCTGCTTCACCTAAGGTAACTGAATCTACCAAATTACCTTATAAGAAAACTGTTGGTTCTAATAATTTTAAAAGGTTAAGCCATGAAGAGTATCATTTTAGAACTAACAATGGACTGTATTACAAGTGTGCTGAAAAATTTTCACCTGGCCATAAGTGCAAATACAGACAGTTTGATGTGATGATTGTGGATGATAGTCAAGTGAAAGAAGCTATGAATGTGCCGGATTTAGAGGTTGATGATGGTATTGATTTGACTGATCTTACCATTAATGAAAGATCTATGCATGTATTGTCTATTAACCCTGTTAAAAAAACCATTTTGATTTTGGGAAAGATAGGAGGAAGGATTGTATGTATTCTGATTGATACAGGCAGCACTAATAGCTTCATTGATTTGAAGGTTATGAATTTGCAACTTCACTATGCTGAATCTGATTTATGCACCATAACTGTTGGAAATGGAACAAAAGTATCAGGATCCTTGATTTGTCCTATGTGGAGGTGGGATATAAATGATCATAAGTTTAGCTATGACTTGAAGACAATGAAATCGGAGGGTTATGACATGGTGTTAGGGGTTGATTGGATGAGGCATTACAACCCCATAACATTTGATTATCTTGATATGACTATAAGGCTGAGTAAGTTTGGGAGGCAATATATATTGTATGGTGATGGAAGTCAGCCTAGCTTACAGTTGAGAAGGGATGATCATTGCATGGAATTCTCACCTAAGAAAAGGAGAAGAGTTCTAACAGCCAGAGGAAGGGATGATCTTTGCTAAGGTCTGACAATCAAGAGGATCAGGAATAGCCAGAGGAAGTATCATCTTTACTTGCCAGGTATAATGCAGTGTTTTACATGCCAACTTTTCGCCCCCAAAAGGTTTATCAACCATCACATTTCTTTGAAGAGTGGTGTGAAACCCTTCAAAATACTCCCATACAGATGCCCACATGCTTATAAGGCAGAAATTAAGAAACAAATATCTGAGTTATTAGAACATAGAGTGGTTCAACACAGCACTAGTCCCTATGCTTCACCAGCAGTATTGGTAAGAAAGAAGGATAGCAGCTGGAGGTTATGGGTGGATTTCAAGTGGATGAATAAAATGACAATCAAAGATAAGTTTCCTATATTCCATCATTGATGAACTGATTGATGAATTAGGGGATGCCACTGTTTTTACTAAGCTGGATCTAAGTTCTGGTTATCACCATATCAGAATGGCAGCTGAAGACATTCCCAAAACTACATTTCACACCCACCACGACCATTTTGAATTCCTAGTAATGCCATTTAGCCTCACTAATGCACCTTCTACCTTTCAATCCTTGATGAATCAGGTGTTTCAGACATGTTTAAGGAGATTTGTTCTTGTTTTTATTGATGACATACTAATTTATAGCCCTGATTTGTCAACTTAGCCATTTGGAGCAGGTGTTTCAGATCTTACAACAACATCAACTCTTTGTTAAGAAGAGTAAATGTGCATTTGCTCAGAGCTCAGTGGATTACTTAGGCCATACTATCTCTGTTGGA